AGACGCCAAGGGGGTGGAGCAAAAGACCTCCTCCCCCAGCACAGCCAAGTGCAGACCATCTCAGACACCTGCACTCAGGCCCGTGGTCCTGATCATCCTCTATTCGGACCTGCTGGGTAAAGCCACGAGGAACCCCAGAACGGGCTCCCACAAGGTACAAACATCTCAACCCATACTTTGCTCTTGTCTCTGGAGGACACATCCCAGCCCACAGCTTGTTCCTTCTCCAGGTGACCACGACCTGACCAACACACTTGCTTCCTCCCCTGGAAGACTACAACCAAACCCACAGGCTTGCCCTGCCTCTGGGAGATGAATTGGCACTGAAGTGCAAACAGACTCACTTTTCATCTCCACCTAAAGGATTTGATTGAATGAACAAAACATCACAGAGAATGAAAGGATCACGAGAGGATAGTGCACAAGGCGCGGGAGATGATACAAAAGGCAAAGGCCGCGGGATACAGTTCATTTCTTTCTGAGGGAAACAAAAATGGAACTGTGGACCAGCAAAATGGTTCAGGTCACCAAGTGCGACAACCTGAGTTAGAGCCCTGGAACCCGGCACAGACAAGAGAGAACTGATCCCACATGGCTTCCAACCTGAACACACACACTATGTTCTTGGGCTTGGGCATGCCAACACCAACACACACAGACACACACACCATTTTTAAAAAATATTTTCATTTATTTTTGAGAATTTTATACAATGTGTTTTGATCATCCTTCCTTCAAGCTCCTTCCAGTTTTTCCTAACCTCCTCCTTCCTAACCACTTAACCACCCTGCCTTTTTTTAAACCCATCAAGTCCAATTTGTGATTTAAAAAACAGTGGGAAATTTGACAAATATGGAGTCCCCTGATGCATAGAAGAGGAAACCTTGGATTCTGAGCCCAGAAGACCAGCTGCAAGGCCCCACAGACAACCTATGCCCTCATAACCTTGCTGAATTGTTAATGTTTAAAAAGGAGACAATAATATGTATAAATGTGTAACTGTAGAAATACTGACCCCCTGTGATGAGAACAGCAATGAAAGAATGTTCTAGAGTTTCAGGTACTTTCTCTAGAACTATAAGATCACAATGAGCTCTAGGCTGACCTTTGAGTTCAGGAATTGGCCCACTACCTACTACCCAGTTCTGTGGCTGGAGGGAACGGAAGCCCTGATGAATGGAAATCACGCGGACAGCATCGGGCAGAGAGGTGAGGGAGACAGAGGAACTAAAAGCTTCATTGGTCATGGCCAGGAGAGGAAACTGTGTGTATTTGGGGCTCTCAGTTCCTGGAGTCTTTCAATGGGGACTGTCAAAGCCATCCTAGCCTGGTGAATAAACAAAAAGAACGTCCCAATCTTGCCTGCATCAATACAAAGGAGCCGGAGACTAGAGGGCACTGCTCCGTAGACAGGAGAGGCCTTGTCCCCCAGGCCACCTTTGATCATCAGCCTTCTCTTGCAAGCAATTAATGCATAATCGCCAGCAAACCTGAGTGTCTGCAAGAGTCAAAACCAGGAAAATGTTTTCTGATTTGCCTTTGAGTCTCAAGAGGATTCCAGCGCCGACTAGCCCACAGACCTTGCTGTAATTGCCTGTGCTTCTCTTTCATGGTTTGCAATAGATCCTTCAGAAACGGCCTCGCCCACGCTCGCCTCTGACTGTAAGGACCACACAGCTGGGACCTCAAAAGCATCTTGGAGAATCCCGAGGCCATGAGAGGCTGGTCTATAAAGATGGAGGATCTTGGTTTTGTAAACACAGTTGAAATATGTCCCTGTGGGTTTTTTGGAGTTGGGGGTGGGGAAGCCTCACAGATGCATATATTGCACATAAAGAGACCCTAGAGTCTGGTTCTCAACATGTGGGTCATGGCCTCTTGGGGGAATCGCATATCAACATCCTGCATATTAGGTATTTACATTATGATTCAGAACAGTAGCAAAATTACAACTATGAAGTAACAATGAAATAATTTTATGGTTAGGGGTCAGCACAACATGAGGAACTGTATTAAAGGGTCGCAGCTTTTGGAACGTTGAGAATCACTCTCTAGAGGGTCTTTCTTGACACGTATCCCAAGGTCCTGACTTCAGCAAGCTTATGGTAGGTCCAGTCCCGGTGCCTGCCCTTGACAGGTCAGAAAGGTTGCTGCAGGGTCATATGGTACACTCCTTCATCCTTAAAAAAATTTAATTTATGCTGCTTTGTTGAGCTAAGTTTTGTCTGTGCCCCATGTCTGCCTAGATGTGAAACGAAGCTCTAATCTTTGGTGTTTCTTAATAACCCTAGTAACATTTTAATTGTTCTGCACTTTCATTTTCTAAAAGGATTGGATTTTTTATTGTATTTATCTATATTGTGTGCACACTCATGCATGTGTGGAGGTCAGAGGACATGAGTGAGCAGCTTCTCTCCTTCACCTGTGCCTTCTGAGGATTGAACTCAGGTGAGCAGGCTTGGCGGTGTGGGCCTTTACTGAGTCATTTTTAAAGAGCATTTTTGCCTGGTTTGGGCCTCCTCCTGGGATCTGAGCTCAGTTTTGCCATTGTAAAATCTGTTTCTATCAAGGAGGTGAAACAATCACAGCCATTTATTTATTTTAAACTTTCTTTTTATGTATTCTTTGTGTCTTTTACATAAGGCATCTCGATCCCATTCATTTCCTCATCCCTTCATATCTGCACTCTGCCCTTGCAACACCCCCCCCCCCCCCCCCCGAAATAAAATAAAATTTTAGAGAAAAAGAAGAAAAAATTGAACAATTTCATCATGGAAGCTGTAGTCTGACTCAGAGAGTCACGCTGTAAACCCTTTTGTCCATACATCTTTACTCACAAGTAAGTGTTCATTGCAGAGAGTCATTGGTCTGGTTCGAGGCCTCTGGTTTCCGCTGCACTATCGATGCTGGGCCCTCACTGAGGCTCCTGTTGGATATTCTGCTGTTGCCCTGTGTCGTGGAGATCCTGCAGCTTTGGGTCTGCAGGATCAGCCCCTTCGTACATGGGGTGGATGTTGGGGTGGGCCAACTCAGAACCCTGGTTTTGGGCCTGGGTAGTTATAGGGTTGGTCAGTCTGCCAGCTCTCCCCTGTCCTCACCACCAGGGTGAGCTCTCCAGCATTGCCCTAGCTAGCTCACCCCTTACAGCCATGAGCAAGGGGCGGGGCGGTTCTCCTGCTTTCCTGCCCTCAGAGTTGGTTCTCCCACACCTGCACCATCAGGGCCAGCTCTGCTGTGTGGCCTAGGCGAGGTGCAGGGGCTACTCTCCCTAGTGCTGTGGCTGGTGAGGGGCAGAGACAGCTCTCACAACCTTAGGACCTCAGGCTGAGCTCTTCCGTCAGCTCAGACATAGAGGGGTAGGTGGGTAGGGCATCTCTCCCCTACCCATGCAGCTGGTAAGGGGGAGGGTCAGCTCCCTTGCCAGCTGGAGACGGTAGGGGCAAAATGGGAGGGCATCTTTCCCTCGCTCCCACCACCAAACGGAGGCGGTACCAACTATGACCCTTTCTCACCCTCAGGGCTGGCTTACCTGTGCCCGTCTACAGGGTCAACTCTACTGTGCTGCCCAGACGAGGTCCGGGGCCTGTTCTCCCGAGTGCTGCAGCTGGTGAGGAGTTGAGTCAGATCCCCCACCTGCTGCAGGTGGCGAGGGGGGAGGGGAGGAGGGCATCTTTCCCTCACCCATGCCATCACACAGCAAACGAGAGGGCCGCGACCTGTTCTCCCATTCTCACGCCCTCAGGGCCATGCCCCTGCAAACAGGGTCAGCTCTATTGTGCTGCCCAGGTGAGGTGTAGGATCCTCTCTCCTGAGTGCTTCAGCAGATGAGAGGCAGGACCAGTTCTCCCTAATATTGCAGCCAGTGAGGGGCGGGGCCTACTCTGTACAACCCTATCCTCTGGGCCTTTGGTGGTATCAGGAGCCATGGACATCAGCACAGACCGGGGCTGCCTTGGGGCCAGCAGCACCCCAGTCCTCTTGGGAGCTCGGAAAGGTCTCTGGGAAATACAAGACACGTGGTTTAAAAAGAAAGGGCTGTCTCCAGCAACAGCTCTGCCCCACACCATGCAGCTGGGGTAAGCTTGCCCCAGCAGCAGCCCAGTCCCCAGACACCACCATCGCCCTAGGTGACAATCAAGCCATCCACCTCGGCCCGCTCCTCCCCTTATTCACTTCTTCAGATATGACTCTGTCCACAGGCCGAGAACCGTTCTGTCTCTCTCCCATACCATATCATACATGTTCACCATAATAGTGCCTGTCTGCCTGGTGCCACAAGGTGCTGGGTGGGCCAGTGTTTCCTCCTTGGAGCCTGGGGCTTTAACCCTGGGTCTGCGTGTAAGTCTCCTTGTCCTGCTCAGTCTGTCAGGGCACTCGGCATCACCATGCTTCTTCATCACAAGGAGATCCTAAGATCTTCTTCATCACAACTGCCGGACTGGAGTGGGGATTGTGGAGGGTTGTGGGCTCCTGGTTGGACTGGAGCAGTTGTTGGAGTCCTTTCACGGGCCAGGGCTAAAAACCTCGGGCTGCATTTAGTTGAGTCCTGCTTACCCCAGCTGCATGGTGTGGGGCAGAGCTGTTGCTGGAGACAGCCCTTTCTTTATAAACCATGTGTCTTGTATTTCCCAGAGGCCTTTCCGAGCTCCCAAGAGGACAGCAAGAACAAGGAACCCATCAGGCAGTGCATCCATCCAGGAGCAAGCATGGAGCAGGCAATATAGGGAGCCAATGCCGCCAGGGCGAGACCCTGGGAAACCCTGACTCCATTCCTGACATCACCTGGGAGACAGTGCCAGCACTGAGTAACATTTTTTCTCTCTTGAATGACTTCAACAGGTTGTAAGGAGGCAGCAACTGAATATTCAGAGAATGTGTAGGAATTATGAAAACAGTACGCACTTGCTTTCTCAAGGCTGTTTTTCTTTGTATGCACATGACAAGTGTGTAGATGTGTATGTGCGTTCAAATGTTGTTGGGCACACATGTTGATGTCAGGTGTCTCCCTAGATGCCTCCCTGTTCTTTCAATAACTGGTTCTTCAATAAACCTGCTTGCTGATTCTGGCTCTTCTATCTAGGTAGCTTGCCCAGGGTGTACGCTGTCTCTGCCTCCCAACTATTGGAATCACAGGTGACCACCACACTTATCCATCTCTTTCCTGGGTGCTGGGGCCTGAACACTGGTCTCTGCACTTGGCAGGAAGTACTGTCCCCACGGAGTCATTTACCCCAACCCCTCGGGGCTCTGGTATATGTGGTATTGGGGCTGGTGCTGGGAGAAAAGCTCTTGAGCCATGTAACCTTGCGTTTAAATCTGACCCCTGACACTTAGTATATAGCCTACATGTGCCCCAAGCCTCGGCTTTTTTGAGAAATAGGGACAGTGATTTTTCACCTTACCGGGAGAGTTCGTATCATTCTATTAAATCAAGGTAGAAACATCAGCTAACCTAAAGATTGGCTTATTGTAAGAGGCCAGGTATGGTATTTGTAGCTTTTGTTGACTCTTAACAAAAACACAGATGTGAAAGTATTAAGAAAAGCGGAATGGTTTGGAGAGGCCAATTAAGATACTTTCCTCGGAGCCACAGAAGCCCATTCACAGGTTAGGCATAGAGATGGACAAAACACAGTCGTCAGTGTTGGCTGGCCATTCCTCCCCTCGCCTTCCTGCTCACTTTCTACTATGGAGACAAAATAAGGAGTTGTTTGCCAGCCTTGCAGGCACCAGTGGCTTCTATAAGGTGGAGATGTGGACAGGGATCTTTCCTGATAATGATGTGGCTCGGCCATGCTTCTTCCCTTCATTTGTCTGGAAAGATGTGTGCGGCTGACACAGCTGTATTGTAGCCCTGAAGAAATAAGCCGCTGTGGCTGAGGTGTCAGGAGATACTAAGAACTCTTAGGTTCTTACTGCACACAGAGCTGCTGTGCTAGGCCAGGCTGCTACATTCAGATTTCTAAGTTTTATAAAGGAACACCTTGCTTTTCATTGAGACTTAAGATGTGCTTTTAGTTATTTACTGCTGAAAAAAAAATCATCCGTCTAAGAGTGAGCTTTGTGCTAGGTTTCTAAAATGTTTTGCTCACTGGGCAGCAAAAACAAAAACAAAAACAAAAAAACTAGTCACTTTGACCACCTCTCTCAAGAGCATAAGTGTGCAGTCATTGGAACAATTCTAAACATTGTAATTAATGAACATGCCCTATGAGTGCATGTGATATGCATGATGTTCACATGTTAGTTTATGAAAGGTGGAGGGTTTGCCTCATATTAAGTTCTTGGTCACTGATGTACACATAGACATCACAACCCAATGGGCTCCAGCCTCGGGGATTCTGGCTCCCCAATCCTCCAGTGAGGTCAACATATCACATGAGATCAAAGCTGCCCTGGTCTCTGTGAGCCACACGGAGCCACTTGAAGCCATCCTTACCAGAGATCCACGCTCGGCAGGTAACTGGCTCCTCCAAAAACACAGGCTTGAAAGGGACAAAAATCTTTATGGGCAGTTTGGCCTCACTCTACCATTTTAATTCGACATAATCACTGCGTATAACCATAACAGGTTATACGGCCCCATAAAACACAGAATTTATCTGTGACTCACTCTACTGTGAATTATACAAGCTTCTGCTTCGACTTTGCACATTCAACTTGTAGGGATCAGAAACGTCAGCACTTCTGTGACGGTGATTCATTTTGCTCACTCAGATAAACGTGGCAGAAACTGGACAGGATAGTATAAAGCCTGCTGCCTAAGCTCCGCACCCTCACATGCAAGCCAACTGGAGCTCTCATGACAGAGAGCAGCTAGCTAACCCCTCGACTTCTGTAACGTCGCTTGGATGTGTGTGTCCCTCATCATGTGGTAGAGTAAGAATTATTCATGGGCCTGACCCAAAGTGTTGTCCTTTAACGTTATATTTTGTGGTCATAACAAGACCTGTTTTTTATTGTCTCACAATTTCAGTGTGCATGTGTAAAGTGTATTTTGACCACACCTTCCCATGTTACCCTCTCTTATCCCCTCTCCTGACGTTTAGAGACAGGTCTCTCACTGAACGTGAAGCCAATCGATTTGGTTAGGCTGCGTGGCCAATGAGATTGCAGATACGGACCACCTTGCTCAGTTTTTACCCAGATGTGGGAATCCAAACTCAGGAACCCATGTTTGTGTGGCAGGCATTTTACCAGCCCAGTCTTCTTTCCAGGCCCTAGATGAAATATAATCATATGCTTTCTCCCTTCCCTCTCCTTCTACCAACTCCTTCCTTAGACACCCTCTCTCTCTCAAATTCATTGCTTTTCTTTAATTATTATTGTTGCAAATACATAAGTGAATAAATACATCAATATGTATAAATACAATCTGCTGAGTCGGCTTAGTGTTCCTTGTATGTGTACATTTTTATGGATGACCACTTGGTATTTGATAATCAGTTAAAGGGCTCAACCCTGGGGAAGACTCTCTCTCTCTCTCTCTCTCTCCCTCCCTCCCTCCCTCCCTCCCTCTTTCCCTCCCTCCCTCCCTCCCCCCTCAATGGTCATTGATTGCTTGTGGCTTTTGGTCTAAGGGTGGCCCTGTGAGATTTCCCCCATCCACGCTGTTATGTCAACTGCTGTCATGGTTCAGGTCTTGCATCGGCAGACATGTTGTCAAGATTTCCCAGGTGTGGTCTGCCCATCATATCCAGAAGACACATCTTCACAGCAGACTTCCTGTTCCTTTAGCTCTTAAAATCTTTCCCGTTCCTCCCCCATGATGTTCCTTGAACCTTAGGTTGTAGGAGTTGTATTGGCTGCATGTACATTTGTGTGATGCATGCGTGCCTGGTGCCTGAGGAAGGAGCTAGATTCCCTGGACCTCAAATTAAGGACTGTGGTAAGCTGCCGTGTGGATGCTGGGAATCAAACCCAGGTCCTCTGGAACAGTGGTCAGTGATCCTAACCACTGAGCCATCTCTCCACCCCTTATTTATTTAACTTTCTAATGTCTTCACAGTAGATGAAGTTTCTGCTAGTGTTACATATTTATATTTCCAGTACAGTTATTAAAGGAGATATTTAAGCTCATAAACTCAGTGTGCATAAATATCCAAAGGATTGTCATTTTCCTTGTTTGTTTTAGGCAGTACCAAATGTTGTATAGGCAAATATATTGGTTTATCAATTAAGCTTCCATGCCAGCTTTGCTAAATAATAGAAAGCCGATCTATTGATCATTGCCAAACTATGTTCTCAGGTGCATACCCACAGTGCTGTGCTAATTCCTTTACCAACTCACATTTGTAAAACTAAAGCCATATGTGGTGCTATGAACCCATGGTCGTTTATGATAATGTGACCTCACACTGAAACTTTAGGTTTTTCTAGGGAATGTAAAGACTGCCATCTTTAAACAGTCCTGAATCTACTGTGGGAATGTTAATGGCACGGCTTTAAAGAGGTTTTCAGATTATAAATTCAACATTTCTCGCTTCCCTTTCCCCTCTCCAAGCCCCTCCCGTACACCCCTCCCTTCTCTTCTTCAAGTGCATGGCCTCTTTCTTTACTAACTGTTACTGCATGCACCCATATACATTTGTGAGACATACATTTTCAGGGCTGACCATTTATCACTGGACAAGCAGTTGGTGTGCTCTTCCCTGGGGAAAGCGCGTTTCCCCCTCCCGGCTTCCCTCGGTTGTTCTGGTTCTTTGTGTAATGTCAGGGTTGAAGCCTGTGGCCTTTCCTCACCCACTTTGGGATGGCCATTGTCATCCTCCTTTGGCTCATGTTCGGGCAGCTGTGTTGATGACACTTTATGGGGGTGGCCTCTACTATGACTAGGAGACCCAGTGAACTCCCTGGTCCTCTGGCTCTTACAATCTTTCCACCCCCTCTTCTTCAGCAGTGTTCCCGGAGCCCTAAGTGCAGGAGTGTTTGGGAGCTGCAGCCACTGGGACTGGGCTCCATAACTCTGCATTTTGATTGGCTGTGGTTTCTGAAGTGGTCCATGTCTGTGGCGGAGAGAAGTTTTCTTAATGAAGACTACACTTATCTGTGGGTATAAGGGCCAATATGCAGATGCTGTTAGGGATTGTGCTGGTTCAGTGTATTAGTGGTTGTACTAATCTCTTGGTAGGCCGTTGGCACACTTCTCATTTCTCAGCAATGCCTAGTGATCTCAGACACCTTCCACACTTCATAGCTTTTCCATTGTTCAGCCATCTCACATCTCTCTTCATACCATCCTTACCTCAGTTTCTGTTGGTGACGACACTTTATGCCTCACCAAGAAAACTGAAGCCACTGAAGGGTTTCTCTCATCGGGTCCTACTGTCCAACCCCACCGTGCCGCATGTCCTTCTCGACAAAGACCACCCACCTGCCAGCTCTAATCTCCAGAGCCTTTATTTCTCAGATTATCCCTTCCCTTCAGCACTGCCGACCTCACTTCCTCTACTAGAGAGTGTGATCTTCTACCGTCTGTGTTCAACACACAGAGGAAGAAATAAAACCTCCCTTGACGCCGTATTCCTACCAGACTCTTACCCTCTCTACTCCCCTTCACCTCTGGGCTCTGAAGCAGTCCGTTATTGATACTGTCCCCGTTCATCTCACACTGTCTCCATAACGCACACTTGCTGGGTCCTGTCTCACTGCTCCTAGTGTGGCTGTACCTGCTGAGTGCTCCCTGCTCTTGTCAACTTTACCTCTCAACCAGGTGGGCCGCTCCCTCCTGTTCCACACCATCTCCCTTCACCACTAGCACGGCCCTGTTGCTGTCTCCCATTCATTGACTGTCCAGTTCATTACCAAATTCACCTTTTCCTCTTGATTTCCAGGGCTCACACCGTCACCTCTTCTCTAACTAGGCTCACCCAGTGGGCTGGATAGTTTTATATCAACTGAGAGGAAGGCACCTCAATTAAGAAAATGTCTCTATAAGATGGGACCACAGGCAAGCCTCTTAATTAGTGATCGATGGGGGAGGTCCCAGCCCATTGTGGGTGGTGTCACCCTGGGCTGGTGGTCCTGGGTTCTATAAGAAAGCAGACTGAGCCATCCATGAGGAGCA